TCTGATCCAAATATGATTTGGATCAGCAACTCCTAATGGGATTAGGAACTGATCCCTTTAAGGTTATAAAAGGAGGAGGGGGCGACAACCTTTTGACACTTCACATCCTGTCTTCAGAGCTGAAATCACAAAAGAGAGAATTCAGCATTACTGCGCTAAATCTCTCTTGCTGCCGCCATATTTGCCAGTTCGATCTCCTGTTCTCAGTGGGAGTGATCAAGATCAGATCTTTGTAGAAGGACTGATTGGAAGTAGTGCTCACGTGCCATCCAGCTGATTCTTGCGAAGAATCTAGTTCTTGTGAAGAACGCTGTCGATTCTACTCCATCCTACACTGCGCCATCTTCAGTGGGAGCAGTTTTTGGTTCCTTCCTTGGGCGTGAACACCTCCATTGGGAGATATTATTTTTCTGTATCAGGTATATCCCTCTCCTACTGTTTTTTGTTTAGTTCTTGGTTCAAGATTGATCCTTGAAAAATATGTTTTTTATAAAATAGGGAATACGATTCCCACTAGGATGGAGATAAATTTTTGAAATTCGCCTATTCTATTCCGCAAGATTCGGGCATCCATATGATGGATATCTCATCCCTTCAATATGTATACTTGAATCTATGAGTTCAAAATTGCTATCACAAGTATGAACTCAGAGATTCAAGTATACATATATCCACGTATTAAGTACTAGCTTTGCAAGATCGAACTATGTCATTCCAAAGAAAAAGTATCAATTACTAGTATGTACTCATAAAAGATAATATAACTTATGGTTATGAATCATGTAAGCATGTGTATAGAAACTTATGAGCATTTGAACATGAGATTTAAGTGTATGAATTGTTAAGTGCTAAGTATGTATGATCATGAGATTTAAGTATCTAGATGCATGAAATATGAATTTGTTGTGCCTAGTGAGACCAGGTCTTGAGAGAGATGCCTGGGAAGACCAGGGTTTTGAAAGAGGAACTTGGGGAGATGCACTTTATAAGCTTAAAATCAACCAATCTTGATTAACTTAATCTTAGAAACCAATGGCTAGTAGTAGGTCTAATTCTTAGGTGTTCCTAGGCTCCAAAAGTAATTAATCTAAGATTATAGCCCTAAAGAAACCATTTTTGGACCCTTGGAATGGAAATCTATGAGGGGGCATTCGATGAGTCTTTTTGTGTGGTCTTTTGGGATTATCAAAGCTTGAAAGACTAAAATTTGGTTTTTCTCCACTTGGCAATGAATGCTAGGAAGCTAGAGAGATCTATCTATGCCCTTAAAAGCTCACAGAAGTCCAAAATGGCCAAAAAATCTAAGAACTTCATTTGAAGTTTTTCGTCTTTCTGCACCTAAAATCTTTTATTTAACAGCTATGTAGGCCATGGTAAACAAGGATACTTACTAAACTGTCTAGATATTTAAAGGCAAGACCCCAAAAGCTCATTAGATCTTTTTGCCATCAAACATTGTTGGAAGATCATTCCAAAAAGACTTGTCAAACAATACCTAAGTTTCTAATTTTGTGAATAGTGGGTAATTGACTATGTAGACACTATTCAGTAGTCAATTGCCCATAAACCGATAATTGATTATCCTTAACAGTCGAGGCCAGAATTGAATAAACACTATTCAGTAGTTGACTATAATATATCATGAGCCAATCATGTCTCACATCCGAGACTGGGATAAGTAGCTAATCGACTATCAAGAGAGAAGTCGAATAGTATTATAGAAAAGTTTGACTGTTTGAAGGCATAACGGTCATCATCTTTTGTGGTATATCTTCTGTCTTATTGAGAATTTAATCTGAACATTTCTTAGAATGGATTAATAACGGATTTCAAATAGTCATATTCTCTCTACCACTATAAATCAATGGTTTTTGACTTGAGAGCAACAAAAAATCAATCGGTGAGAAAACTATTATTTGAAAGAGAGCATTTCTGAGCAAGAGTTTCATTTAGAACACGATATTATTGAGCTTTATCCGTTCTATAGTGAGAAAAATTGAGTTACCTTTTGACTTAATTGTTTCTCACTGAGATTTCCTAAATCTCTTCAAGAATTCGAACTTTGAACCTGTAGTTATTATGTATATTTTCACATTAATATAGTTTACTTCATATTTGTGATTATCAACATGTTTTAAAGGCATTTGTTGGATACTTGGATTTGTGCTTACATTGTTATATATGTTATATTAGAGGTGTTCAACCATTGTATGTTTAGTAGGAACCCATAAACCTACTGTTCAGATTTGGCTGACACCTAGAAGTTCAACTGATTTTAGTCTTGTAGGCACCCGAAAGCCCATTCAGTTTTAATGTTTTACATTTCTACAAACATTTATATTACTTGCTTATGTTTATTTGATTGTTTTGCAATCATTTATAGCATGCTTTTGTTTATTTGATTGTTCTATAATCATTTATCTAGAAAAGATGTATTTTCGTATGTGCTTTTTCAATTCTCTTTTAGGAGCGTAAAATCTTGGTTGCAATTGTAGAACTTAGTGCTAAAATAGAATGTCATTCCAAAAATAATCAATGATGCAGTCAATTAAACAGATAAAGCAAGTTTAGTGTCGAGTGTCTAACACATTTTCTTCACTTAACCTCGAAAATAGTCATAAAAAACACTGTTTTAGCAAATCTTGATAAATGATCTTTTTTATTTATGTTTCCTAATGCTCTAGATAATCAATGGATTGTTCTCTACTGACAACAGAAAATGTTAAAGTTGGTAGATGTGACATGCGACTTTAGCTCGAAACATCTTTGAATGGGGGCAAGCCCCAATTGCTTGGGTTGAAATCAGACAATGAACTTAGAACTTCATCAGCAGCTTCATGAAAAGAACTATCCAATCTTGGATCTGGGACCATAACTACATACCTGCATGCCAAATGCAATAGTTGGAAAGCCAAGATTTACATAAAAAATACCGATGAAAAAGTTAGGGCTGTTCATAACAAGACCCAAACCGACCAAATCGATCAATCCGGTCCGATCCAACCCGAGTTGGTCGGTTTTTCTTCAACACCGGTCAGTTTCGGTTTACAAAAAAAATAAACCGATATATTATATATATATATATCTGATATATTTCAGTTTTACTATATATATATATATTTCTATATCAGCTTTATTTCAGAAATATACATATTATATATAAAATTTCTGATATATAAAATATCAATTTTAATCCATCAAATCATTTTTAATTTCCAGGCATCCAGCCTTTCTTTTCTTAGACTTGAATCCTTTACGTTCACACCGAAAGAATCATTCACAAAACCAACCCAAACCGATTCAAATCGACCAGGTCGGTTTTACTTAGTACTGGGTCGGTTTCGGTTTCATTTCTAGGTAAACCGACCAGGTCGGATCGGTTGGAAAAACACCAGTAAATCGATCCAACCCGACCCGAGAACAGCCCTAGAAAAAGTAACAGAAAAGTTTTCTTCTTAGGAATAATACAATTTTTTTTATCATTTGGGAATAATGCAATTTTTAGAGTTAGGAGATTGTAACTTCATTGATGTAATACATTGGAAGTGAAAATCAGAAAAAAGCTATTACTTCCACGAAGGATATCTACTTGAATAAGTTCAGAGAATTTTGATAAAAACCCTAAAGCATTTCAGGTAATCGAATTCTAAAGGATAAGTTCTCAACCATACTTCAACACTAATGCATATAAGCACAAATATTTGGGGTACAAAGATGAAGAACAAACATAAAGGCACACAAGTTTGGAAAGCAAAACCAAGTTGATATGGGAATGGATAAAACAGAATAAAGTAGTTGGGAAAATTACCTACAAGGTCATTACGGTATAAGAGTATTAGGGAAGCCCCTGTAATATTTTCCTTCAAAGGTTTAACCCATTAAAATATTTGCTTTAAATGGTAAAACTACACAGGCAAACAACACCCATTGTTTTTTCTGCTCAAACAAACAAATTTACATAAATCTACCAAAACATTTCTGTACTTAAATTTTAAAAATTGGATCTTTTCTCTGAAAGTAAGCCCCTACTTGGGAACACTTAAAATAAGTACTTATTCATGTTTGGCAAAAAAGCCCAGAATAAGTGAAACACTTAAAAAATAAGCCAGAATTGGGTGGCTTTTTTTTAAGTGCTTATTCAATAAGTACTAATTTCTTTTTTTGGGACAAGACTGTCCCCAATGTTTTGTTCATTTTGCAGGAACCGTCCCTATCTTCAAAAGAAGATCACTATTCACCTCCTTCTCTTCTAGTGGAGAACCAAACCAAAAGTGGTGATCAAGCACCCTTCCATAGTACCACCACCACCACTCTCTCTCTCTCTCTCTCTCTCTTCTCTTCTCTCCTATTCCTTCCTCCACCATCGTAAATAGTCTTTTCAAACCATCACCACCTCTCCCTCCTTTTATTTATTTTTTTTAATTCTCTTTATTTTCTTCTTCTTCTTCTTCTTCTTCTTCTCTCTCTCTCTCTCTCTCTCTCTCTCTCTCTCTCTCTCTCTTCTTTACTTCTTTCTTTCCTCCTCCCTTTGTCTCTTTACCGTTGCTGCAGTGAATGTGGAAACAGGTTCAATTATGGGACAAGTATTTATTTAATTTTTTATATGTCTTTGTATGTATCCAATATATGGTTATTGTAAAGTTAGGGCTGTAATTGTTATTTCTGCAAAATACAAGTATTTATGGGATAAGTGACTCAAAAAACAGTGCAACAGCAATAAGTACTTAAAATAAGTGGTTTGATAAAAGACCTCCCAAACACTAAGTACTTAAAAATAAATCCAAACAACTTATTTGCCAAACATACCTTAAATTGGTTTGTGAAGCAGAATTTCAAAGAAATGATAGGAAGATGATCCAACTTATGACATATACTTTTTTTTATCAATAACAAGTTAACTTTATTAGAAAACAAATACAATTACAAGGATAGGGTGGGATAAGCTCTCTTAACTCTCCCCCCAAAGTTCAAACACTACCAAAACAAGGTAAAAAGCTGTAAAAATTGACCCCAGAAAATAGAGGCTCTATTCACCCTTGCTTTGCTTAGCCCATCAGCAAAGAAATTGGCACTTCTTTTGATCCAATGCACCTTAACTTCAATATCTTGTATTAGCCATTTGAATTGTCAGCGCACCACCAACTTAGAGTCTCTCTCTATAATCAGTGTTCTAATGTTCATATCCTTTGCCCTTTCTACCCGTTCTGAGACTGCCAAAATCTCAGCCCTTAAGGAGTCTCCCACTCCAATTGGACCTGAGAACAGAGCAATTATGTTTCCTTCCTTATCCCTAAAAACATCACCAATTCCTGATGGCCCTAGATTTCCAACACTGCACCCATCAAAATTCAGCTTAACAAAACCATTAGTTGGGGGTCCAAGCAGGAATTAAGGCATCCTTAATTGGGGATGAAGAAGCAACTTCCTTCTAGTTTCTTAAGAAAACTTCCATTGTGAAATATTTAAAAAGTTCCAAGGACTTCATCCAGTGTATCACTTTGTTATCTTTAATAAAAGAGCAGGAGATTAATAAGTGATGGTAGGTCTCACCATCAACTTGACAGAAACCACACCAGTGAAGGGATAAACAACTGTTAGGTCTCTTTCTGTGAAGAAAATCACATGAATTGATTCTTTCCAAGAAGACTTCCCAAGAAGAACACACAACCTTAGCAGGAATAGGCTTACTCCAAACCTCTTTTATAGGGAATGGTTGCCCACCACGAACAATAGGAAGAGTTAAGGTTTTGAAGGAGGCGCAAGAGAACACATCAGAGAGTGAAGGGGTCCAGATTCGATTACCGGATTTAGCAAGGTCCAAGAAAATCCCATCAAGAACATCAAGCAACACTAATATGCTATTTAACTCTGTATCCCATAAGCCTCTTCTAAGACCCTAGTCCGACCAGTACCTAGTTTTGGAATGGGAAGGTACCAAAAAAGTAGCGGTAATCTCATTTTTTGTAATTGGAGAGAGCAAAAAAAGAGGGAAATGATCTTATAAAGGGGAATCCCCAACCTAATTCTATTCCCAAAATTTAATATGATCACTAGAATGCAAATCATTCCTGGTCCAAGGCAAGAACAAAAGGTAGAATGGCTTGAGTTGCTTTTCAGGAGGAAGCTCTTGTAACCCTAGCCAAAATCCTAGCATCCCAACTGTTATCCGCAAGCCCATGAATGTTGACAATTACCCTGGCCCTCAAAATGTCCTTCTCAAGAGGTAGCCTCTACAACCACTTTCCTAGAAGAGCCACATTTCTCTTCTAAATGTTTCCAACGCCCAACCCTCCATGTTTTTTTTTGCTTCTAATGACCAAATCCCATCTCACCTTATGATCCTTTTTCTCCTCCCCCAGTTCTTGAAGGAAATCCCTCTATCACTTTTTCCAATTTCCTATCCGGGACTTTGAATACCGACAAATAATACACTGACAAGTTTGCTAGGGTGGCTCTAATCAATGTAGTTCTATCACCAAGAGAGAGGTAGTTTCACTTCTAAGAAGCAAGTCTTTTCTCAAATCTTTCAACAACTGAATTCTAGAAACTACACTTCGAAGGGTTATCTCCGAAAGGAAAACCAAGGTATTTCAAAGGCCATTGAGGAATTACACAACCCAAAATACCTGCACACTTTAATACCTCCCCTCCAAGTTTATTCTGGCTATACAACTTTTATCAAAATAAAATTTATGTTTGACATCTGCTCAAAAAGTTGTACAATGAGCTTCATGTTTCTAACCCAACTCAAATCATCTCCTTCACAAAAAAGCATTGTATCATCTGCAAATTGTAAGTGGTAATAGGGGCCCCATCCCTTCTAATTCTCAATCCCCTTGCCAAGTTTCTTGAGTCTACTCTAGAAATCAGTCTCCTAAGGACATTCACCACTAAAGTGAATAGGAAAGGGGAAAGGGGATCACCTTGTCTAAGACCCCTCAAAGCAAGGAAAAAATCCACCATTATTCCATTCACTAAAATTGAGTAATGACAAGTCTTGAGGCATCCCAACACCCATTTGCACCATCTCTCTCCAAAACCAAAGCTAATCATGATTTCAAATAAAGAGAATCAATCCTCCAAATCATATGCTTTTTCAAGGTCAATGTTGCAAACCACACCTTTCTTCCCAGACTTGAAGTTATTGCTGTTAGCAGAACTGTTTTAGGATGAAAAATAGCTGTTTTCTTGGTAGAAAAGTTGCTGAATAGAAAAGAGAAAAAGAAAGAGAAGATTTGGAGTCAAAAGTATAGTGTTGGTGGCGCCAACATTTCTATTTAAAAAGGTGTGCCTATGCTTCTTTTATCATTTCATAAAATATCATTCTACAATTTGCATATTTTACAATGTTTCCATCATGTCTAAATTTTACAATATTTTCATACGATATTTCCGACATTTCTGACATGTTTCTTATATTTGGATGACTGATGTTTCCACTGATATCAACATTTTAAACCTTGTTGTGGATTTACAGCAATGAAAAGAAGAAGTTTAGGTGGCTGACAAGAGAAATGGAAATCTCTTTCAACTGGATAAAGTGTTGTGCTAATTCTGTAGCGGATGCTTTAGCCAAACATGGGGGTGGGAAGAGAAACCTTATTCTAGGAAGGATTGTAAATTAGAAACTTGGGTGTGGGGAGAGATGAGAGTTTTTGTCTCTTAGTGTCTTTTTACCATTTACACCTTGTACTTATCTGCTATGTACTTTTAGCATATTTCTAATAAAAGTTTGATGTTCTCGATAAAAAAAGAGGGAGATAGGAATAGCAAATTTTTTCATGCATTGGAAAATAGAAGGAATTCAAAATTGGTAATAAATGAAGTAGAAACTCAAGATAAGGATGACATTGAATTGGCTCTAATCTCTCATTTAAAAACTT